CCCGGAGGGCAGATGGCTGCGTCTCCCTGCACCGCGCAAGGCCGGCAGGCAGCAGTCGGGGAGCTGGGCGGCCTGGCAGCGCTTCAAGGGATGAAGTCATGCCCGGTTCCGCGTGTCTGCCACCAGGTGGCGAGGAAGCGCCACGCTGAACTGCGCAGCGCCGGTGGCCCCGCGGTGCACGTGTGAGCCCGCGGCCCCGGGGAAAAGGCCCCGCGGCGAGAGCCCGGCGCCAGGGTGCAAGGCGTGCGCGCTCGGCAGCTCCGGCCGCCAGCGCGCCAGACAGCGGCACAGTAAAGGGGAGCTGGATACCGCGTGGCGTACAGCTGCGAAGGAGCCAGAGGCGGTGACGGTGACCCCCCCCCCGCAGTCCCGCCCCTCGGGCACAGCATGCCCGCAGTTTTGGGTCGATCCCTCTGAGTCACGTGGGTGCCTCTAGCACATTTGACAATCCGCAGAAGAGCGTGTGGGGAAAAAAAAAAAAAAAATAGTGGAAAGCGTGATTTTCAAAGATGGGTGGGCAACAGAGTGGCACAAGTGCCGACTTACTGGGGTGGGGGGGAAAGAAGGAGAAAAGCAGAGAAGGCTGTCAGCGAGTGCTGATGCAGAGAGCGGATGTGCTTGAGGCGTAAGGGGGCTGCTTACCAGCAGCTCTTGGGGTTTGATGGAATTGTCCGTGTATATGCAAAGCTTCTCTGCTGTGAGGGGGATTGTCTCTTTTAGCTTGGAGGCCAGGAACATGCACACTGCCCCCAGTAGCTGCAGATGGCACTTTCGAGTGGGCACCACAGCTAAGAATCTGTCCAAGTAATTCATAGCCAGAGGGAAAACTTCTTCTTCACACTTCTGTTCTTCACAGACCTGCAGGCGAGTAGCACGGGTAGGGGGGAGAGAGAGACAAGTAAAAAAATAAACAAATGACTAATCCCACAAAACATACTAGTGCCTTGGCACTTCAGCCCCTCCTGATTTTCTTTATCGGGGAGCTAAATTCTGGGGGAGGGGGATACCTCTGGAGAGGCTGGGAAGGCTTGTCAATCGGCTTTCACATTCCTTTAGTCCATTGAATGAGAAATGAATTCAAGACACTGTGTGGGAGAGCCGAAAAGCCTCATCCAGCTGCAAGCTAGCAGCCTCCGAGATTTTTTTTTCAGTAATTTCGTCATATTTTCAAAAAATCGATAAAAATATCTGAGCCTCTCCAAGGGTCCTAGTTTTGGTGCTGGTGGCATCCCGGGGCGGTCCCCCATCGTTTCCGACAATTGCAAAAATTCCCCCGGGGGGCATCCTCCAGACCCACGCCCGTAAGTCGTCCCGGGGGGGGGGGGGGGGAAGGAAGGCCGGGAGAAACGCAGCAAGGGCGAGCTGGGGTGGGGAGAGGCTGAGCAGCTAGAACGCAGAGGAGACAGAAAAAATTATTTCAAAAATTTACCAAAAATCGGAGCCGGCAAGAAAACGCGCCAAATTGCACATGAAAACAGAGCAGGGGGTCCGGTTCTCAACCGAGGGAGCTGAGGGGGAAGATCTGGTAAAAATCCACCCCCTAGAGATCAAAAGGGGCAAATCAGGACGGTGGGGCCAGGGCAAGGCAGCTAAATCCGCGGGGCTCCGGCCCACGATCGCGCTGCGCTCTTCCCAGCAGCCCCCGGCCACGTTGCGGTCCCGGGGCGTGGCGGCAGGGTGCTTCGGGGTGCCCCTTCTTTGGAAGGAATGGGAAGACGGGCTGAGCGCCTCCGAGCAGTTGCATGCAGCTCAATATGGCGAAAAAAAAGGCAAGTCTTAACCAGTGCATACGTGGTCGTAAAATACTTGCCGAGCAAAACGTGGGGGGCACTCCTCACCCTCCGTCCCTTGCCCAACCCTGGTTCCCTTTTCCCAAAAGGTCCTCAATCCCACGCGCTCGCAGCCGGAGACGGCTCATCTTTTTACTTGCAAATGACTTCTCCAACCTCCCCCCCATCCCTTCCTCCCCTCTCGGCACCCCGCTTTGAGCAGCGGCAGCCCCCGGCAGGGCCATTTCACTTCGAGGACTGGGGGATGCTCGAAGCCCCTGCCCCCACCTCAACCCGACGGGTGCTGGGCAGGCTCTGTAGGTGGAGTTAAAAGGCGAGAAAATAGAAACATACACAAAAAGTACAATCCACCGCTACCGGAGGGGTAAATGGGTGTGGGGGGCGAGAGGACGGGACAGACGTAGGTGCTGCTCGCGGGTCTGCCTGCACCAACCTCCAGCATCCAAGTGGCCACCATCCTCCTCATGAAGGGCTGGATGTCCTTCTGCACGCACTTGAAGTAGGAGCACTGGGGCAGATACCGCTCCTCTATCGTCAGTAAGTTGTGCAAAACACGGTCGTCGTAGAGCAAGCTCGGGTCCGGCAAAGCTCTTCTCATGGGATCCACCTCGCAGCACAGCAACTCCATGTTCCCAAAGCGATCTCCCTCTTACTCTGATGGAAAAGTTTTCACGGGGGGGGGGGGGGAGGGGGAGGTTGGAGGGGGGGGGGAGAAGGAAGGGGGTGGGGAAAGAAGAAGGATAAAGGAGGAGGGCGGCGGCGTTTCTAGCCCGTTCCTGCCTCCCTTGAAGTTCGTTTGTCCTTCTCTCTTGATTTCTAGCCTAAAGTTGAAGCGAAGTGACGCAAACCACTAGGGCAGGCAGCTCTCGTTATTATGGAGCACTGCAGCTGGTCAGGCGTAACATCAAACGCGGGTCGCTGTTGGTTTTTTTGTGTGTGTTTTTTTCTTTTCCACTCTATAAGCTAACAAGGAACTCGGAGGCCCTCGAACAGGGAGACACATTCACAAACGTCAGTTTCTCTCTCCTTTTTTTTTTTTTTTTTTTTTTTTTTTTTTTTTTTTTTTTTTTCTCCCCAGCGGCCGAACCGAACTTGTTCCACACTTTCCTTTTCCAGGAGCCTGCCTGAATCCGTACTCCCCTTTTCTGAGAAGCCATGGGCTCCCCCCGCACCCACAGACACTACATGGTTTGTACGCGAAATGCCCTGGTTTGGGTCAGCGCCAGATGCGCGTCCCGGCTCCCCAGGCGCCTTACCCACTCCTCCCCCTTATACACCCTGACTACGCAGCCATGGGGGCAGAACCTGTTAACTGCAGCCTAACAGCAAACGCGGAAGAAGAGCTCCTTGAAGGGTGAGCGTTCGGCAGCGTTTTCAGGGCGAAATGTAGCGATAATCACACTGTTACTTTCTCCGCTCCATTTCTAGCAGGCGAGCTGCTTTAGCAGCGCACAGTCACAGCGATACAACTTTTAGGAAATGTCGCGGGTGGAGAAGGGAGGGCCGGATGGGGGCAGGGACAGTCCCGCACCGTGCGATTTCACCCCTCCTCACGCCAGCCATGCTCGCCGCTGCCGCCGAATGCAGCCCACCACGCGCGTCCGGCACGGGGCCGACCGCTCACGCTTCATGTCCGCTTTCTGCACGAACCACCTGCCCCAGCCCGCACCTCGCTGCCTCGCCTACCTCTCGGCCGGCGCAAAGCAGCCGCCTGGAAAATGTGTCAACTTTGTGAAGCCTGTGCTGCAGCCCGCTGCGAGGCTGAGGCTCCCGAGGGAGAAGGAGCCGCCCACCGCCGGAGCTGAGCTCCTGGGGCGCGGAGGCGGCCCCGAGGTGCGTGCGAATAGCACGCTGCCGGCAACCGCCCCCACTACCCGGCTTGGCTGCTGGTAGGGAAATACCGCCTTAAAAGTGCGAGTGTGGAGTTTAGGGCGCCGCTTCCCCTCCCTCTATTTGCATAGCCAATGGCTCTGGGGCTCTCGCTGCTGCGCGCTCATTGTTACCGGGCAGATTGGATCTTAAGGACGCGTGCTGCCCGATATGGAAAGCAGCCCGAGTGGGCTGGGGGCGAGGTGCAGCTCTTTACCTGGCCGTGCCGGCGGCCCTGGAGCTGCAAGTGGTCAAGGGGGCCCTTTCCAGCTCTCGCTCCTCCGCAGTGGACCAGGAGGAAGAGAGGGAGGGAGGGATGGCATCCCTGGGTTGCATTTCTTCGGGGTGCAGTCACCGAGGCTCCTCTGCAACACCGGTAGGGATGGCCCCGTAGACAGCCTTCTCTTTTGCTCCCATAAAACAAGCGGGGCTCCCATCCCGCGACCCTTCACCTAACGGTAGGCAGCCGGGCCGTCCGCGCGCTGCTGCCGGCATTTTCCCCACGAAATAATTTGCGCGTCCCCCTCTCCTCGTCCCGTCCAAGAAGTGAGGGAAGCTTTCAGGCACAGGAGGAACACGGCGGCTGCGGGTATCGTGTGCGGCCCCTTTATTCTTCAAGACGAGTACTCACCGCGCGCTTGGGCAGGGATTCGCCTGCCCGAGGTTGCGTTGTACGACGGTGAGGGGTCCCCCTGTACGTCGGGAGTGGCCAGCAGCGATGTGCTGCGGCGCGTTGAGCTCTGCAGTGAAAGGCTGTTTAACTTCCACCATTCATTTCCCCTTCCTGACTACTCCTGTAAACAGGGAGCGTGTTGTGTCAGCCTAAGTTTTCCTTCTCCAAACTTAAATTCCTAAGTGCTCCCGTCTGACTTTGTAGTCCGACAGTGCAGCGTTTGTGATTTATGCAGGTTTCGAGGGGCAGGATGACGAGTATTCTAACTGTTCGGCACCGACTTTCTGAAGTGGAGTGATGTCCGGGGTACGGAGAGGACCTGGGGAGCCTTGGGAACCATGCGCCTCACTACAGGGAGGCCGTCACGACCCGCCAGAGAGTCCTGCCTCCCCACCGTTTTGGTTGGGGGAGGGCCCAATTAAAAGAAATATAAATCGCTAAGTCAGTCCACGGAAGCATTTCAGCCCCACGCGTGGAGGTGTCGCAGATCTGCAGCCACGTCGGGGTAGAAAAAAAAAAAACAAAAAAAACCAACAATATCCCCCCAACCTCCCCCCCCCCC